ATTGACATGCTCGAGGGTATCCGTAGGAAGCTCATGGTGCGAATAGTTGAAAAGAATGTGCAAGCTGGTGGTTGGAGGGATCGGCTCTGTCCTAGGATAGAGAAGAAGATTAGAAAGGGTGTGGATTTAGCCAAGATGTGTCAAGTGATTCCTGGCTTGGAGGACAAGTTTGAAGTTGCCATTGGCCGTAAAGGGTACGTGTTGGACTTGGACGAACATACATGCAGCTGTGGGTCATGGGGATTGACTAGAATTCCATGTGTACATGCAATTGCTTGCCTTCAATGGCAGAGGAGGGAGCCTAGTGAAGTCGTGTCTGCTTACTATACTGTTGGGTCGTTCAAGATGGCATATGAGTTTGGTATTCCTACTATTGAAGGCCAACAAGCTTGGCCAGAATCAGTAGGCTACCCAATTTATCCTCCTAAATTCAAGGTCTTACCTGGACGTCCGAAGAAGCAACGGAGGAAGACACCAGGGGAGATTGAGACAGTTCGACATGGTGGTGATGGATCTGCTATGAGGAAGTTCAGGTCTGTAATGCATTGTAAGAGGACAGTTCGACTACGGTGATTGCTGAAGGAGGATCACAACCACCACCGACACAGCCGAGCCAGCAGCAGTAGGAAAGTGGTTGTAAATGGGTGGTATTAGGGGATGTAGGGTTAACGTAGTAGATTATGGATATTATGGATGGTCATGTTTATTTTGCGCAAGTATGGTTGCGTTATATCCGGAGGAAATCATGTAAGATTCCCAAACAATGGATTAATTTTGGAAAACTAGACAATGGCAGCCTTTGTAACTGACCAACACAATTATGTATGTGTATGGTTCAGACTATGATATTGATCATCTTCTGTTGAACAATTCAGGATGTTTGAATGGTATGTTTATAAGATGATGCTATCGTTGTTTACTTACTGTCATACAAGGGAATTCCTCAACGCCAGATTCAATAACATACAGAAACATGATTGTTTGCTAACATCGTAAATAAACTCGAGCCATAAGTTACAGAATAGATGTGCATTTGCAGACTTCATTTCAGTCCTGCAATGGCAATGCCTACAAGCAGTCCAACGAAAAGGAACAAAACAAACAAGAATCGAGCATTGGCCAACTTCAGTTCCCCTACCAGCCTAGTGTTTTCCTCCCTAATGCTAACTAAATCATCAAACAAACATTTTTTAGCCTGCTTCCTTCGCTCAGCTTTCTCTTCAGCAAGTTTCAAGCTTTCCTTCAAGCTCGTAACATGAATCTCCATCGAAGCATACTTCGTCCTAATGTCTTCATCATCTGCCACAATCGCATTGGAGCTAGGTGTTTCCTCTTCATCATTACCCTGATCCACCCAACGCCAGAATAGACAATTTTTTGAAGGCTCCTGACAAATAAATCAAGATGTAGTGAGTTGTTGTTTGCGAATAAAATCCCCCAACTAAATAAATGATGCATAAATCACCTTTCAATATGGGCAACAGTAGAATCCCCTCCCCGGATTGAGTTTTGTCCCTGAAACATAAGACTTTGCTGGTATATTATGCCCACACTTAACGATTCGAGAGTTGGAAGAATTGGAGTCACAAGTGCTTTGGCCGAATCTCCTTCCCGACATGTTTTAATTGCTGCCACAAAACCCATTCATTATGGAGAATGAGAACCAAGTACATCAAACCCTAAAACAACCCAACATCTATACTCACCTGGTTTCCTCGACAAACTAATTCCGAAGCACGCCGTCGCACCACTATCCTCGCCGCAATGAATACCAAGTCACCACGAACCGGCGCCGCTCCGCGTTACTGAAACCCAACGTCGTCGCCACTCCGACGCGAGGGAGCTATCGCAGTCTCTCCTCTGCCCTCTGCTCGCGACGACCCTCTGCCCTCTGCTCGCGACGACCCTCTCGCAAAGAAGAAGTTTGAAAATAGAGGAGCTACAAAGAAGATGAAGAGGGTTAAAAAGTAGGGTTTTTTAATTTTAAATCATTTTTTTAATTTAAATCAGAATGGTAAATTTTTTTTACTAATCTGACGTGTTTGCCTATGTGTCGTCTACGTGGCCAACAGGATTGTGCCACGCAAGCTTCGGAAGCTGACCTAACGGCAGTCTGTCTGGTCAACTGTTACTTTTAACGGTCAACGAAACTGTCAGGATACAAATGACACAAAACTACCAAACTTTGGGACACAATTGTCGTATAGAATACTTTAGGACACAAATGGCACAAAGTTAATACTTCGGGTTTCCTATTGGTATTAGCCCTTTTTTTACAAAGGATTTACTTGTATAATGTATTGCTATTTGAAAGATAGGTTACAAGACAAGCCAACAAAGAAGTCTAGAAAAGATCAAGGATAGACAACCTTAAGCACAAGATTGAACAATCTGTGTTTAAGAAATACTACAACAAGGGAAGAACAAAACACAGAAAAGATCAACCCAAAAGATCTGCAACACTTGAATTAGATCCAGAAAACACCGAGCCCTCTCTTGCAATCAAACCAATTAAAGAGCACCAAGAACAATCAGCTCGTCCGATCCGACCGTATCCATGACAATTGAACACGACGTCATATGCCGCCTCCTGGGAGTCGCTCGAAGACGCTCAACATAGTGAATCTCTAGTGAGTGATTACATGGCGGTGGAAATGGAAGAGGATCGAAATGGTCCGACCTGAAAAAGCAGAGGGAGACGAGGCACCAAGAACTTGGTCAAGGGAGAAGAAGAGCTCAAACCCCAAAATCCAAGAGCTGAAAACCGCAATCAGAAGGGCCAGACAGCGCCTTCCTTCCATCAACGCCGGCCAAGAGGCAGAGAACTACCATCAGGGGGAACAGAGGGGAAAACGTTGAATCGATTCACCATGTATGTTGATGAACACACCATCTAGAGAGGAGACCCCTAGATGCATACCCAACCCCAAGGAGAGCAAATCCGGAAAAGGAACCCTAGAACAGGGCAAGGAAAGGCCATAAAGGCAGGAGAAGCTCAACAGCTGGAAAATCCAATTGAAAAATGCCAACCAGAGGCAAAACAACAAGAAAAGACTAAAAGGAGAAGGAAAGGGCATTGGGCTACCGCCGGTCACCAAGAGGTGCCGGCGGCAACCCCTGAAAAATCACACAGAGGTGCTGGAGATAGAGAAAAGGCAGAGCACGATTTTGAAACTAGATGGTTGGGAACTTGAAGAAGTGAGGGGTACTTCAAGAAGTGCAAATCCGCATGCGATGCAATTTGTGATTGTAATGGATGAAAATAATACGAATATTGGGTTGTATTAAAAAAATAAGTAGGATCCACAATCACAATTGTATGTGGATGGTATTGTGTTAGTATGTGGTATAAGATTCATTATTTAACCTTAAAAAAACTCGAGTTATTATGATTAACTGGTTCTAACATAGTATCGTAGGGCCTTCTATGACTGAGATATCTTGTTTTCGAATCTCCATGACTTCCATTTGAGCGAGCGTATTAGTTTGTGATATAAGATCCATTACTGAACCTCTTGCAACAACTCAATGAGACCAACTGATTCTTAACACATTGATGTAGATGTAGATGTAGATGCAGATGATATGAAAGTGGAGCAATGACGGATCCAGGAGGCCGCCCCCGGGCCACGACACAGCCCTTCTCTGGATCCGAAGCTAGTGTAGCACTTGTAAATTTTCTATTTTTGATATTCGTTTCAGTGCTTGTAGCGTTACGACTCAACCCTTTCCGCCATTGTTCAAATGTACCCAATGATCTACCCGATCCTGGATCCGCCGCTCATGTGGAGAGTGATATAATTGCTAAATTTGTTAAAATGAGAATAGCAAACACACTTGAAATTGCACTTGTCATTCCATATGCTCTGCAAATTTTCATGTGTTCCGAGGAGAAGTTAGTTTCACAAGCTGCCCTGAACAAGACAACATCATTGTCCGCCAAAGATTTTGTTGGACTTGGAATGACAACTTGGTATCGTAGAGCCTCTTTTAGCTGGATTTATGCTTCCCTGCTATACGTCGTCGTTTCCTGGCTTTTATGCCTTCCACCTACTACTGCTACTTAGGGGTCGTTTGGAGGTTGAGATTTGAAGTGAGGTATTTAGCAAATACATGTAATGATAAGATTAAGTCGTTTTTTTGGTTCACTTTGAGTTAGAATACATGCATTACCTTTTTGTTGGGCCCACCTACAATCACTCAAAATGAATGATTATAAATCTCTACTAAAAGGTGAGATTGTTAACGAGGGATTGTCTACCCTACTTTTTGTTTCATCATTGCCTTTCCAAACAAAGTATTTTCCTAATACATGCATTGAATAAATACATCAAATGATAATACACTAATTGACCTAATACATCAATTTGTAGAATCACAACTTCCAAACGACCTTAGTCTCAAGTTTCTAGTTCCCTTCGGCAATCCCAGTCGTAGCTCTTGGTCTTTTTCTTCTTTTTATCAGAGAGTCGTCGCTCTTGGTCTCCCTTCTTCCATTTCTTCTTTCTCCCGAAGCAAGCAGCTCAATATGCAGTAACCAGTAAGTAAGCAGCTCAGAGAATACAACTCTCTCACATTCTATCTCATCTCGATTCTCTTGTGGCGCCGTAGCTTGCTGCCGCCATTGACGGAAACAATGTAAGTTATCTCTCTCTCTTTCTGTCTCTGCTCTTTAAATTGTCGGATCCTGATCCATTTTCTCTGCTGGTTATGCACTAGCTTGGATGTGGACGAACAATTACTTCGTGCTCGGGTTCTTGAACGTTCCCATCTTCGAGACCACCCAGTCCTCAATTTTCATCATCCTCTGTATTCAGCTTGAACTTTTTCAATTTTTAGTTTCAGTCTTCGATTTTTTCATAGTTCGCATGTTTAGTCTTCGAAGTATCTTTCTTTCATCACTGCTCTAGTCCTAATAGATGTGCCATGTTGCTAAACTGAAAAAAGATTTAAGCTTTCCTCGGTTCTTTTTCAGTTCAAAGCAATACAATAAGCCAGGAGTTTTTATGATTAACTCGAGTAATCTACAGCTTTTAGAATTATGTATGTGTTCTAATTACTTGAAGGCTTAACCATGGCTGACTGACATAAGTGGTATTGTGTGTGTATGGGATGTTTTTATGTAGAAATGGATTACATGAAGTGGGCTGTGACGGTGATTGGCCTGTTGCCACCGCTACTGATCATTCTCTACAAGCTATGGCTGGGAAGGAGAATTTCAAACAGGGCGAACAATGTTGATAATGCCTCTCGAACGTTAGACTCTATTGCTTCTGCTTCTGGTTCTGCAGATTCTGACACTTTGCTGCCCCTACCATTTGGAGAGTATGAAGTGTTTCTGAATTTTCGAGGTCCAGACACTCGTTATCAGATCACCGACATCCTTTTTCGGTTTCTTGTTAACTTAAAAATCCGCACGTTCAAGGATGATGATGAGCTCCGGAAAGGGGAAGGGATATGGCCCAATCTCGTCGAGGCTATCGAGCAATCCAAGATCTATGTTACCATCTTCTCTGAGAATTATGCATATAGCAAGTGGTGTCTCAAAGAGCTTGCTGTAATTGTTGAACGCCAGGAGAGAAACCAAGGTTGCATCATACTCCCCATTTTCTATATGGTGGATCCCAGAGACGTACGACATCAAAGTGGACCTTATCTAAGAGCATTTCGTCAACACGAGAATTTTTTTGATGAAGAGACCATAAGAATCTGGAAAGCTGCTCTGAATAAGGTTGGAGCTTTGAAAGGATGGCATGTCAAAAGCAATGACGAGTAAGTTACCTCACCCTTGCCTTCTATTCTGTTTTTCAACAAATTACTATAGTGTGGTTGATATAATTGAGAATCATATTTTTCCCAGGCAGGGTGCTATAGCAGATCTTGTTACTGGTCTTGTATGGTCACATCTGAGTAAGAATAATGTTTTAGAGACTGATAAGTTGATTGGAATGGATGATCACATAGAAGTAGTAAAAGAAAGATTGGCCCTAGACTCTTCATGTATGACAATTGTTGGCATTCATGGTATTGGTGGTATAGGTAAGACCACTATTGCAAAGGCTGTTTATAACAAAGTATCCCCTCAATTCGATCGTTGTAGCTTTGTGGAAGATGTTCGGGAAATGTTACAGCAAAGGGATGGTATTATCATTTTGCAGAAGCATATCATCTCAGACATTCTAAGGGTGAAGAACTTTGCTGAATCCATTGCCAATAACAGTGCAGGAATCAGAATCATAAAAGATAGAGTTTCTCGTTTCAAATTTCTTATTGTTCTCGATGACGTGGATGAGAAGTTTCGATTTGATAAGATATTGGGAAACATCAAGAATTTTGTTTCGGGGAGTAGATTCATCATTACGTCTAGAAACGTAAAAGTTTTGAGTACTTTGACTGATGACTGCAAGTTATATAAAGTACTAGAAATGAATCATTCTCACGCACTCCAACTATTCTGCAACCATTCATTCAAACAGGATTCTCCTCCATCTAGTTATGAGACTTTGTCGAATGATATTGTTTCTGTTGCAGCTGGACTTCCATTGACTCTTAAAGTTGTAGGGTCACTATTATTTCAAGAGGAGAAAGTGATTTGGGAAGACAAATTGAGGCAGTTAAAAGAGATTCCAGAGGAAGAGGTTGTGGAAAGGTTAAAGATAAGCTATGATACATTAAATGAAGAGGCAAAGCAGATTTTCTTAGATATTGCTTGTTTCTTCATCGGAGAGGACAAAGATCTACCTTCTTATATGTGGAGTGATTGCGATTTTTTCCCTATATCCAATATCAATATTCTTAGACAGAGGTCTATGATTGAAATTGCATCTCATGATTCTCATAAACCACAATTGCTCCGAATGCATGATCAACTTAGAGATATGGGTAGAGAAATTGTACGCCAGGAAAGCATAAGACATCCATGGCAGAGAAGTAGGATATGGTCGAAGAAGACGACTCTCGACATGTTACGTAACAAAAAGGTAAATTACCTACACCCAGTTGAATTTCTTTCAGATTATTGTAAAATACCTATTATAGCCACAAAATGACTCCCACATCCATGGGAAATTAATGACATATTTACTCCGTGCACTATGGTGCATATGTATTTTTCGTAGTCCATGAATCTGTTTGTTAAAACAACACAGTGTTTGAGTGTTGTAGTGGTAGTAAAAGTGGAAGCACAAGAGAAACGAGCAATTTACGTTCGAAATAAAATAAACCATACAACATGTAGGTGTGGTGGACTTAGCTATTAGTACTATAATATTGAAGTTGTAGGTAGGTGAAAACAACTGCAAACATGATGAAGCTCTGTGGCAAAGGCTTTTGGTTTCTTCCCTTTTGGTTATTTGATTTTGTATTAATTTTTTGCAGGAAACAAACAGAGTCGAGGGCATTAGAACATCCTATGAGGGTGATGGGGAGGGCCTCGAGAAAGAATGCTTTATGAATTTATCAGAGTTAAGATACTTTGACATAATAGCTACGGTGCTCTCTGTCGACTTTAGTAGTTATCTTTTGAATTTAAGATGGCTTCGATTGAAGATTGGATATGGTGGGTTTATGCCTAAGTTTTGTGTGGAAAATTTGGGGATTCTCGAATTATTAAGCCCAGTGAAGGATGGTTGGAAAGGTTTGAAGCACATCAAGGTATTGGTTGGAATGCTTTATGAATTGTGCTTGTTGAGTTTCTTGATTAATACTTTTCGACTGACTGACTTGCATGTTTTTCTCTCCCTTGTTTTATGTTTTCGTGAAGATGGCCAGCAAGCTCAAAGTTTTGAAACTTTCGGGTGAGTTTCTTATTGAATATCCCCAGTTTCCACATTCCAGGAGTCTAGAGGTATTATATCTGGAGAATTTTGGGCCTCAGTCATCCCATGAAGACTTGGATATTGGGAATTTGCTGAACCTTAAAGTGCTGCTTCTGCGGTATTGTGAGGTAAGATCAATTACGGGTGGAACCATTGGGATGATGAAGGGGCTTCGGGAGCTCAACATCACTGATTTAAGGTTTCAGAAGAATCTGAGAGAAGCCCTTGCTGATATTGGAGAATTGCAGTTTCTCGAAATCTTGATAGTGGAGCTAAGAAATGAGAATTTAATGCTGGATACTAAGCTTCCACCAAGTTTGAAGGTGTTAGTAACTCCATTTCCAATTGCCAACCTTCCAGAGCTGCTAGAGTTGGAGAAACTAACAGTTAATGAATGTGAGCTGAAGATCCCTCTAGCGGACAGTAGTAATATGTGGTGGAAGATATCCAAATTGAAGCATTTAAAGCTCTACAGGACAAAGATCACTATCCCAATTAATACTTCCTTGCCTCTGCTTCCATCATCACTGACCACCCTCCACATCGATTCTTGTTCCGAGCTGGAGTGCTTCCCAAGTCTTAAGAATCTGGAGAACTTGACTGACTTATCCATCGAATGCTGTCCCATCCTCAAGGAGATCCATGGTCTTGGAGGGCTGAAATCTTTACGAACTCTGAGTATAGTACAAACTGCATGCAATCTGGACGGTCTTGAGAGTCTCCACTCTTTGACGTCCTTGAAACTTACAGGTTGTGATGCATTGGAAAGACTGCCCAGCATGGCGTCTTTGAGCAAGTTACTTGATTTGGATATCTCTTTCTGTGATAGTCTCACAGAAATCCAAGGTCTTGGAGGGCTGAAATCGCTGCGAAAGTTCAGGATTTTTTGTGCAAAGAATTTAACTCATCTCCTCGGCTTTGAAACTCTCCTATCTTTTAACAAGATGGAATCTTTAACCATACAGTACTGTCTTAATCTCACATCGGTGCAATTCCATGACCTTGATGATGAACGCCTATTAGAAGAAGTAGCACTCAACTCTTTACGGCAGCTAGACATCTGTGGAACTATGCCACTGCTGCAGATCTTCTGCCGGATGTTTCAGCTGTCAATGTTCCCATGTCTCACAGAGTTGACACTGACCGGTTTGGCGCATGATTACCATTATGAAGATATGGAATTACACCTGCATGGGCTCGAGTCGATGGTAGAGTTAGTTGAGTTGTCTTTGCATACCATGGTCTCAATACGCAGACTACCTTCCTTGTCGAAGCTGCAAAACTTGAAAAAGTTAATTGTCACGTATGCTCCAAATCTGCTGGAGATTGAGGGACTTGCTGGTTTGAAATCCTTGGAACACTTAAGTCTCACCGACTGTAGATCTTTGGAAAGATTGCCTGCAGATCAACTATCTGGTTTGAAGCAGTTGGAAAGTGTGTACATTAGCGGTTGCACAAAGTTGATTGATCGATCTTCTCTCAGTACACTACAGAATGTAGAGATACAGTGGTCAGATTCTGAAACCGAGAGCTCGGATGCATAACTGGCGCAAAAGTCTATTTTCTTACCTTCAAGCTTTGATGACTAAACGATCTCGGTATTTGGATTAGTAAAGGTGACCTTCCCTAATAACATATTCTTATTGTGCAGTTACATTGAATCTCTTGTTGTAAATAGTGAAATACTGATATGGTTGGGGGATATCTTCCTATTTGGGGGTGCGTTTGACATTATTTTGCGTAATTAGCTGATTAGATTATCTTGTCGGTTGTCAGATAAACAGGATTTCAGGATGGAGGATCATGGGAAAGCTGATGAAGGAGGATGTCCTTCAATGGTTCCATTATGTGAGCATTGCTCTCAGATGGACAATGTATCTTCCCACCGGCGAAAGACATTCACGTCTTTCGTCTGGCCCTTTCGATAATCTCGAGTCTTAACGTGTGCATCGATCTGAATGTTTGAATCTTCATATCGATCGTAGGACGCTATGTGATTATCTGGCTATGCCTCTAACTACACTGGTGTGAGCTTTTGTGGTCTGTGCATAAACATTATACTGTGATGTGCTGTTGATGGGCTTTCTAGATTCTGGGTAACACTCAGAACTAGCAGGTAGTCATCATTTTTCCACTGATGTAAACCACAGTGACAATAACGTCAGTTACTGGAGTTCTCATGCCTAGTAGTACATATGAGTTGCATAACACGAGGAAGACTGGCAAGCATTATGTCATTGGCCCAAGTATCTGGCTGTATGGGCCGAGCCTGCAAAAGAAAGGAGCCAGATAAAACAAACGCAGGTACGTCGCTGAGCCCAGAAAACGAGCTACGGGAATGCAGCCCAATAGCCCATGCCAAAAGATATCCTCCAAGTCAACGAAGATCTACTCTATGCCAAAGTCGTCGTTCATGGTCGTCGGTTTAGTTCCCGCCTCCGTCTCCATTCCGTCTTTAACATCATCAGTTCATCTCTCTCCTCCATGTTCACAGTCGATTTGCAGAAGCAACCACTACGAATTACGAAATGCTTCTCTCTCATCTGACTGAATTCTCTTCTTGAGCTGCAGCGGATTCAATCAACGGAAGGCCTGTATGATTATCTATCCCTCTCTGCTCTATGGTGTTTTCTACTGGATTCAATCCTTAATTTTTCCTGCTTAGAGACAACCCAGGCCTCTGAGTTGTTCATCCTTCGTTTTCAATCTTTGGCTATTTCAAATTCAATCGTTTCTGCGCTCATTCTTTCTGATGTTGCAGTTTAGCCCTCAGAATTTCTTATTTTACTTGCTAATTCTCGGGTCTACCATGTACATGTTTCTGAAGTCAGCACTGTTTTGAGCTTCAGTCGTCACGGACTCTGTTCTTTCTCCTCTAAGAAATGTGGTCCGGTGGAAGAATCTGTGGCTCTCCAAATTGTGATGACGATGATCCGTTTGGAAAGAACAAGAAACAGAAAACATACAGTGCAGCGCAATGGGATGGTGCTGCTTCTACTTCTGCTTCCGACTCTGCTTATTCTAGTTCCCAATCCTTGCCATGGGGAGAGTACGAGGTGTTCTTGAATTTCAGAGGTCCGGACACTCGTTATCAGATTACTGATATCCTTTATCGGTTTCTTGTTAACTTGAAAATCCGTACATTCAAGGATGATGATGAGCTCCGGAAAGGGGAAGGGATATGGCCCAATCTCGTCAAGGCGATCGAGCAATCCAAAATCTACGTTCCAATCTTCTCGAAGAATTATGCTGATAGCAAATGGTGTCTCAGAGAGCTTGCCGCAATTGTTGAACACCAAGAGAGAAACCAGGGTTGTATCATACTCCCCATTTTCTATATGGTGGATCCCAGGGACGTACGGCAACAAACTGGACCTTACCACAATGCATTTAAGCAGCATCAACAGAATTTTGACGAGGTGACCATAGGAATCTGGAAAGATGCCCTGAATAAAGTTGGAGCTTCAAAAGGATGGCACGTTAAAAGCAATGACGAGTAAGTTACCTCACCCTTTGCCTTCTTTTAGTTTTTACCAACTTACTTATTATCATTTTGGGATTTAATTTCACGTTGGCCCCTTGCATTAGTTTGACCTGTAGTGTGGTTAATGTAATTGGATATCATATTTTTCCAGGCAGGGGGCTATAGCAGATCTTGTTACTGGTGTTGTCTGGTCACTTCTAACTAAGAATAGTAATGTGTTAGAGACGGATAAGTTGGTTGGAATTGGTGGTCACATAGAAGCTCTAAAAGAAAGAATGGCCCTAGACTCTCCATGTGTAACAATTGTTGGCATTCACGGTATGGGTGGCATTGGTAAGACCACTATTGCAAAGGCTATCTACAACGAAGTATCTGCTCAATTTGATCGATGTAGCTTTGTGGACAATGTAAGAGAAATGTTACAGCAAAAGAATGGTGCTATCAATTTGCAGAAGCATATCATCTCAAATATTCTGAGGGTGAAATCTGATGAATCCATTGCTAATGCCAGTGAAGGGATTGGAATTATAAGAGATAGAATTTCTCGTTTCAAATCTCTTATTGTTCTCGATGACGTGGATGAGAAGTTTGAATTTGATGAAATCTTGGGAAACATCAAAAGTTTTCTTTTGGGGAGTAGATTCATCATTACGTCTAGAAATGTTAGAGTTTTGAGTACTTTGACCGATGATTGCAAGTTGTATAGAGTACGAGAAATGAGTCATCATCATTCACTCCAACTCTTCTGCAATCATGCATTCAAAAGGGATTCTCCTCCATCAAACTTTGAGACTTTGTCAAAGGATATAGTATATGTGGCAGCAGGACTTCCGTTGACACTGAAAGTTGTAGGGTCACTTTTATTTCAAGAGGAAGAAGCGATTTGGAAAGACAAGCTGAGACAGTTAAAAGAGATTCCGGAGGAGAAGGTCGTGGAAAGGTTAAAGATAAACTATGATACATTAAATGAAGAGGCGAAGCAGATTTTTTTAGATATTGCTTGTTTCTTCATTGGAGAGGACAAAGAGCTGCCTTCTTATATGTGGAGTGATTGTGGCCTTTTCCCAATAACTAATATCAATATTCTCATACAGAGGTCAGTGATTGAAATTGTGGTTAAAGGTTCAGAAAAAAAGCTTTTGTTCCACATGCATGATCAACTCAGAGATATGGGTAGGGAAATTGTACGTCAAGAAAACATAAGGCATCCATGGAAGAGAAGCAGGATATGGTCGAAGGGGAAAGCGCTAGACATGTTATGTAACCGAAAGGTAATATTCCATCATCTTACTAGATTTTATTTTAGTTTTTTAATATATGTGTCTGATATCAACAGAAGCTTCCAAAGTGCATGGGTAAATACATCACCGAACTTATTTGTAGATATAGCTTTTAAGATTAATCCTAATTTTGGATTTGAACTTTGATATTTCAAAATGAATCTCCTTGTGATTTTGATTCTCGCCATTAAGTGGATACCAATAGCAAAATCAGTAGCTCGATTCACGTAAATATATTCTTATTATCCCTGTATAAATTCATATTTTGATGTTGAAATAAGATATTTCTTCATTAATGTGCATTTTTGCTTGTAGCCTGTAGTTACTTTTACAATCCAACTTGAATAGTCATTGTTAGAATTTGGACTTAAGAAATGCATTTGATTTGCATTACTTTCCAACTTAGAACTATAGTAGGAAAGAAAAATGAAACAAATATAGCCTATAACTTAAACGTCAAAAACTGAACTCTTGGCAGAATAAAAGAGAGGATAACATGCTATGATAATAAAAAAATTTTTTATTGAAAATGATGTTCATGTCATTGAATTTTTTATTTCTTTTTTCAGGGATCAAACCTAGTCGAGAGCATTAGAATACGCCACAATGGTGCTAAGCTTGGGAAGATTCAGAAAGAGTGCTTCATGAATTTATCAGAGTTGAGATACTTGGAGATAGAAGCGAGTATGCTCATTGATGACTTCAGTAATTACGTTCCAAGTTTAAGATGGCTTCGGTGGTCAATAGGATTTTCTGAGTGTATTCCTAAGTTTAGTGTGGAAAATTTGGTGATTTTTGAAGTTTTAGGCTTTGTGAGAGATATGTCGGAAGCTTTGAGGCATATCAAGGTATGGGCTCTTACTTAGATAAGTTAACGTAACTTGGAGTTTGCTTTTTGAGCTTGTTGATCAATACTTACCGACTGACTGTTGTACATACTTTTGTTGTCCCTTCTTTACTTTGACGTGTGCATACAGATTGCAAGCAAGCTCAAAGTTCTGAAACTTTCGCGTTGCTGGCTGGACGAATTTCCTGAGTTTCCACGTTCTGGGAGTCTCGAGATATTAGATCTGAGGAATTGCTTCCACCATCCGCAGATTCTTAAGGACCTGCATATTGGGAATTTAGGTAATCTAAAAGTGTTGCGTCTGCGTGATTGTGGGGTCAGAGAGATAATAGGTGGAACCGTTGCGATGATGCCGTTTGAGAATCTAAAAGTGCTGCATCTGCAGGATTGTGGGGTGAGAGAGTTAACATGTGGAACTTTTGGGATGATGCCAATGGAGAACCTAAAAGTGCTGCATCTGCTTCCGTCATCTCTGACCACCCTCCTTATTATACAGTGTCCAAAACTGGAGTGGCTCCCCAATCTAGAGAACCTAGAGAACTTGACTTACTTATCCATCGGTGGATGTCCCTTCCTAAAGGAGATCCTTGGTCTTGTAGGACTGAAATCATTGGAAACTCTGCGTATATGTGATATGAACGCTCTGCGCAATGTGGACGGTTTTGAGAGTCTCTACTCTTTGAAATCCTTGACACTGAGATGTTGTGATGCATTGGAAAGACTGCCCAGCATGGGGTCTTTGAGCAAGTTACTTAATTTATATATCTCTAACTGCCATGGTCTCACAGAAATCCAAGATCTTGGAGGGCTGGAATCTTTGCAAATGCTTGACATTCATGATGCAAAGAGTTTAAGTGGTCTCTTTGGCTTTGAAACTCTCCTGTCTCTTAACAAGCTAGAAATTTTAAAGATTGGTGGCTGCCCTCGTCTTACATCATTACTGTTCCATGACCTTGATGATGGTTGCCAATCCCAAGCAGCGGTACTCGACTCCTTACAGGAGCTAAACGTCTGTGGAACAACGCTAATGCTGCAGAGCTTCTGTCGGATGATTCAACTGTTAATGTTCCCAAGTCTCACCGAGTTGACACTTGGAGGGGTGAAAATTGGTAATGGTTACACGGAACTACTGTTGGATGGGCTCGAGTCTATGGAAGGGCTGGTTAGACTGCATTTGTATGACTTAGCTTCAATAAGGATACTACCTTCCCTATCAAAGTTGGGAAACTTGGAAAGGTTAACTGTAAAAAATGCTCCAAATCTGCAAGAGATTGAGGGCCTTGGTGGTTTGAAATCCTTGAAAGAGCTACATCTCATCAGATGCACATCATTAGAAAGTGTGCCCGCAGATGAGCTATATGGTTTGGAGAGATTGGAAAGCCTGGACATCCGTGGCTGCACAAACTTGAAAAATCGATCTTCCTTAAGAAAACTAGAGCCAACAGTAAAGATACAGTGGCCTAATTCTGGCCACACAGTACGCGGTGTGTAATCTGTTTCCTTAACTTCTTCAAATGTTGGAATCTTTGATGGCAAACGAATCTCAGTCTTCAGGTACTGAAGGTATCATCCTCTGTCGTATTTATAGTTACCTTAAGTGTAGAATTTGAAAACCTTTTGTGTTCAGGGTTGTACAAGGTTTGCCATATGGCTTGACAATGTTACTTATTTCTCCTACTCTACATCGTAGCTGGTCTATCAGTTCAGCTTCTTCCTTTCTGAAATATCTCATATTTGTCATTTCTGCATACATAGTTACTTTGTGCCTATCATCTCTCTCACTCGGGTGGGACAACGTATCGTATGTTCCAACCTGCTACCTTTCACTAATCTCGATGACTCTTAAGGCTGGCTGATAACCTTGATAAGCTTGATCCGATCCTTAGCTATGCATATAAAATTTCGTACTTTTGTGTCAATGGTAGGATGCTGTCTAGTTATCTGCTTGTGCCTCACTGAACATTGTTCAATTGGTTTAAACCAATGACTCAAAAGGCAATAGTCACTGCCATTTTATTTTTTTGTGAACTACAATGGTGATAACGTGAGCTCCTTCCAGCAGGCCTCTTGCTTAGGGTACTACCCCAAGTAAAGAACTCTGGAGAAGACGGTAACTACAACACCAGTTGATCGTTGAGACGATGACATAGATTCTGGTTTTGTGGGTGGTGTCTATTTCGGATGAAGTATTTAGACCTCCCATCAACGGGTTGTCATTAGTGGATTTGGCGACTGGAGAGAATCTTCAAGCATTGTGCTACAGACAGACGCAGTCGGCAGTCCATGGAGAAAACTTTGATTTAGCTATTAGTAGAATGTCCACATGGCCAAGAGTGATGACTGATGTGTGCTATTTTGTTGAGTGAATCGAACTATTTGCTCACTTGCCCTTAAATTTCTTGGGCGGCCGTATTGAAGTATGCATACGGTTTTAGTCTGTATGGTCTGTGAACTGTGATCAAACTGTTCATGGTAGCCTCTCAGACCTGTAATTTTAGTTCTATGAACAAAGAGTAGAAAGTTCTATTTTTCATTTTTATATTTCTCACTCTAAAAATATCTTGGTACATGGGCCGAGCCCAAAATATAAAGTATAGAGATGATAAAGGGCAACACAGCCCAGCCCATTCCGAAACGCAAGAGATAGGGAGGGAAGAGAGAAGCGCAATCTAGTTTCCGGTGGCCGTCGTCTAGTCTTCCGGTGCCATTCCCCTCTCAATTTCCAAATAATAATTGGGCGCGCATCTTCTCCGAAGTCTACTAAACCTCTGCTACTGGTACGTAGACTTCCTCTAATTTCTACCGTTGACCTGATTCCATACCTTTCACTTTTCAGATTAGTAGATTAGTCATCGTCTGGTTATGTTTTCGCAGCTGTGCGGCGGGAATCGTTTTTTTTTTTACAGTATAATGGGAAAGACCAAACTCCTACAGTTTTCCCCTCGAAGCCGCGAAAACCTACGCGCCTTCCCCACCAACCCCAACTCCTTGTCGTCGGTTTCTATCTCCTTCCCATTTTTTCACTTCTCCCCTCCATTACCAAAATTTGCAGAAGCAGCCGATAACCGAAAACGCCTCTCTTTTGACCAGTAAGTCCTCTCTCGCTCTCTTACCTTTATGACGATTTCACTACGTGTTTATGTTTCTTGAACCGTTAGTTTCATTGATACAGTTTCACACATCATGAGATGTTGCATAGTGTAGCTTGCTCTAAATCTCAATCAGATTAGGCTGACATGATTTGTGGTTGTATCATGTATGATTACGAAGAGATGGATTACATAAGAGGAGCTGCCACAGTGACTGTCATGTTGCTTCCACTATTGCTGACTCTCCTCTACAAGCTGTGGTCAGGAAGGAGAAGTTCCCACACCTCAATCAGTGTTGATAATGCCTCCACACAGTCAGATTCTAATCCGCTTCCTCTGCCAATTGGAGAGTACGAGGTGTTTCTGAATTTCAGAGGGCCAGATACTCGATATCAAATCACCGATATCCTGTACCGCTTTCTTGTCAACTTAAAAATCCGCACGTTTAAAGATGATGATGATCTTCGGAAAGGAGAAGAGGTATGGCCCAGTCTTGCCAAGGCCATTGAGCAATCCAAGATCTATGTTCCCATCTTTTCGGAGAATTATGCTTATAGCAAATGGTGGCTGAGTGAGCTTGCTGCAATTGTTGAGCGCCAAAAGGAAAACCAGGGTTGCATCATACTCCCCATATTTTACATGGTGAATCCTAGGGATGTACAAAATCAGACGGGGCCTTATGAAAAAGCATTTCGGGAGCACACGAAGAAGAACGTGGATGGGAAGACCACACAAAGCTGGAAAGACGCGCTAAGTAAGGTTGGAGATCTAAAAGGATGGCACATCGAAAGCTGTAATGAGTGAGTAACAACACCACCTCCCTTTGTTATATTCTTGACCAAATTAATTTTTTATCATCTGGGAATTAATTTCACGTCTTGTCCCCTGGCATTAGTTTGATCTATATTGTGGTTGATATTGATTGGAAATGGCATATTTCCAGGCAAGGGGCTATAGCAGATCTTGTTACTGGCATTGTGTGGTCACATCTAAGTAAGAGAAGTAATATATTAGATACTGATAAGTTGATTGGAATTGATGATCACATAGAAGCAGTAAAAGAAAGAATGGCTCTTGGCTCTCAAGGTGTAATAATTGTTGGCATTCACGGTATGGGTGGTATTGGTAAAACCACTATTGCCAAAGCTGTCTATAGCAAAGTATCCGCTCTATTTGATAGATGTTGCTTTGTGGAAGACGTACGACATATGCTACAACAAAAGGATGGTATTGTCATGTTGCAGAAGCATATCATTTCAAGCATTTTGAGAGCGAGTTCTACTGATTCTATTACTTATGACAATGGAGGGATTGGAATTATAAGAGATAGAGTCTCTCGTTTCAGGACTCTTATTGCTCTTGATGATGTGGATGAGAAGTTTGAATTTGATGAGATCCTTGGAAGCAGCGGGAGTTTTGCTTCAGGAAGTAGATTTATCATTACTTCTAGAAATGTTAAAGTTTTGAGTACTTTGACCGAAGGATGCAACTTGTATCGAGTACAGGAAATGAGCCATCACCACTCACTCCAACTCTTTTGCAAGCATGCGTTCAAAAAGGACTCGCCCGAATCAAGTTATGAGACTTTGTCGAAGGATATTGTTCATGTTGCAGCAGGACTTCCATTGACACTGAAAGTTGTAGGTTCACTTTTATTCCAAGAGGAGGAAGTGATATGGAAAGATAAATTGAGGCAGTTAAAAGAGATTCCAGAGGAGAAGGTTGTGGAAAGGTTAAAAATAAGCTACGAGACATTAAATGAAGAGGCCAAGCAAATTTTCATAGATATTGCCTGTTTCTTCATTGGAGAGAACATAGAGACGACTTCTTGTATGTGGACTGATTGTGGCTTTTTTCCTACGACTAATATCAATATTCTTATTCAGAGATCTATGATTGAAATTGTGTTTGATGACAATCAGAAGACACATTTGTTCCAAATGCATGATCAACTCAGAGATATAGGTAGGGAAATTGTGCGCCAAGAAGATATTAGACATCCATGTAAGAGAAGTAGGATATGGTCGAACGAGAAAGCTCTGGACATACTACTTAACAAAAAGGTAATTTCCTGACATCTCACTTGAATCTATGTAGTATTTGATAGCCACAAAAATTTCTGAACGGCATGGTTAATACATACACCCAAACTATCTATTGATATATAACTTGTCAGATTAATCCTAATTTTGGATCGTGAACTTTGATATATGAAAATGAACCTAGCTCCTTCTGATTTTAAATTTCAGTCAATTAAGTCACTAGCTGGACTCGCATATAGTATTATCCCTATATATATTCATAATTCCAAGTTGAAAATACAATTTTTCTTGATTAATGTTCATTTTAATTTGCAGGAACATGTCGGATTTGAAATGCATGCTATTCACCTAACCTTATAATTGTCATTTTAATCATCCAACTTTTTTGCACTGTGTTTTTTACTGTATGTCCTGTTGCAGTCTTGCTAGCAATGCATTGTTTATAGGTTTACAACAACTCATCTGTAGTTGTTCAGTTACTTTTAAATTAATAAAGACAATCATTAGAGGGTTCGGTTACACATTGAATTATTGGGATAAAAACACTCTTAACAGATAAGAGAAACTACCAATTCAAATGAGAAAGACGTGCAGTGGATTTAGTTAAAGTACCATAATATTAAAGCTTTGGCTTTTGCTACTAAGAAATTTGATGGAGGTTTAGCTTAGAGCCCAATATTGTGAAACCAACTACAAGCATGATGAAAATCTGTGGGAAGGATTTTTTTTTTCTCTTCCCTTTTGGTTATTGCACTTTTTCATTTCTTTTTTGCAGGGAACAAACCGAGTCGAAGGCATTAGAATACACGACGATCGTGATAAGAAGAAACCTGGGGATATATCGAAGGAATGTTTCATGAATTTCTTAGAGTTAAGATACTTGGACATAAAAGCTAGGATGCTTAATGACGACTTCAGTAATTCTGTTCCTGGTTTAAGATGGCTTCGAGTTTCGTTTAAATATTCTGACCGGATGCCTAATTTTATTGTGGACAATTTGGTGATTGTTGAACTCTTAGACTACGAGGGACCTAAGTCGACAGCTTTGAGTCATATCCAGGTATGGACTATCACTTAAATAACAGCATCATATGAAGTGTACCTATTGAGTTTATTGATCAATACTTACCCACTGACTGTTGTACATGCTTTTCTTACCCTTTCTTTTCTTCAATTTGTGCATACAGATGGCGAGCAAGCTCAAAGTTCTGAAACTTTCGGGTTACTGGCTGGACGAATTTCGCAAGTTTCCACATTCCGAGAGTCTAGAGATATTAAATCTGGATAGTTGCTACTACCGTAGTAGTCTGTTCTATATGGACCTGGGTATTGGAAATTTTGGGAAGCTAAAAGTGCTGCGCCTGAAATCGCTTTGGGTAAGAGAGATAACTGGTGGGATGATGCCATCATCTCTAACCACCCTCCACATTAAGAGTTGTTCATGTCTGGTGCGGCTCCCCACTCTAGAGAATCTGGAGAACTTGACTGTCCTATCCATTGAATGCTGTTACGAACTAGAGGAGATTCTTGGTCTTGGAGGGCTGAAATCGTTGGAAACTCTGAGTATATGTCATATGGACGCGCTGGGCAATGTTGATGGTCTTGACAGTCTCTACTCTTTGAAATCCTTGACACTGAGAAGCTGTGATGCATTGGAAAGATTGCCCAGCATGGCATCTTTGAGCAAGTTACTTCATTTAGAGATCGATTCATGCCTTGGTCTTACAGAAATCCACGGCCTTGGAGGGCTGGAATCGCTGCAAATGCTTCATATTTATTTTGCAACGAGTTTAAGTCATCTCTTTGGCTTTGAAACTCTCCTTTCTTTCAACAAGTTAAAAGCTTTAACCCTAAGGGGCTGTCCTGTTGTCACATTACTACCACTCCACGACCTTGATGATGATGAACGCGGAGTAAAAGTAGCCATACTCGACTCTTTACAGGAGCTAGACATCCGTGGAACAGTACTGATGTTGCAGATCTTCTGTCGAATGATTAAGCTGTTAATGTTCCCAAGTCTCACCCAGTTGACACTTACTGGGATGGAGATTGGTAATGCTGACAGGGAATTAAGTCTGGATGGTCTTGAGTCTATGGAAGAGTTGGTTGAACTGCATCTAGGTGACTTGACCACATTAAGGAGTTTACCTTCCCTCTCAAAGCTGGGAAAGTTAAAGAGGATAACCATCGATAATGCTCCAAAGCTGCGAAAAATCGAGGGCGTTACTGGTTTGAAATACTTGGAAGAGCTAGATCTCACCGGCTGCACATCTTTGGAAAGATGGCCCGTGGATGAGCTTTCTTGTTTGGAGAAACTGAAAATCTTGTACATCGCTCCAGGCACAAGCTTGATTGATCGATCAGCTCTAAGAAGAAAACTGCTGAAGGTAAGTATACGTTCGAGATTCTGACTAGCTCTACATTTGAATGGCAATCGAGTAAATCTTGTGGATTTTTATTTTCCTTATGCATTTGAAACGAAATGTGGACAATCTTCAAGCATTGTGCTGCAGAATGTCGATAGTCACGAGTGATCATGGGAAGGCTTTGACCATGGTTATGGCCAGAGCTTTCGGTATCGGTTCATGCGTTCGAATTAGTTCCAGTAGTTTCTCCACTTTGATGTGCACAATGTGTTATGTTCGTTGATGGTGTTGAACAGAGTTGATGTAATGTAGCTTGAATTTTGGACGGTTGAATATGATTATGGAATGATATGCAGGTAACTTGAATGCTAATCCTTGACGCTTGAAAATGAAGCTAACTGAAACCAGAACCAGGAAAGCAACCAGAAACAAATGCACAGCAATTTCACCAGCAGAGATCAATTTCCGTAGTTCATCTAATCAAATATCACCAATGAAGTGAGCCAATTACATACTGAGCTCATGCTGAAACATCCATGATAACTACTGCCGGATGGACGACGGTTTCACACTAATTGACTCCTCCATTCATCCCTTGAACACGGCAGAAGGAGGGAGCGGGGGAGCGTCCAGCTGGTAGAGATTCAGCGCCGGGCCGACGAACCGGAAAACGATCCAGCCACCGATGACGATGAAAATGGAGGCATATGCGAACTTGTTCAGCCAGAACAGCGCTCCTTTCTCCCCAACGTAAAGCTCCAGCGCCTTCTCTCCCATGCTCATTTCCTCCCATTTCTTCTTCGGCGCCGGCGGTCTTGCCGCCGCTCCTTTGGCTCCTCCTCCATCTTCCCCTCGCTGTCTCCCGCGCCTTTTAGACCGCCGCCTGAACCTCACCTCCACGGTCTCCGGCGGGGGCGTTACTGTAGGTGGAAGCTGCTGTGGAGTTTCGTCCCCATTGATGGCGTTCTGCCGGTGGCGGCGAGGGAAACTGATCTGTGTGAACTGCTTAGTTGTTAGCGGTGGTGTGGCGCGGTGGTGGGCGATGGAAATCGGAGATTTCTGGGGCAGGAAGTGAAGGAAATTGGCGGCCATATTGCGTTATCGCCGCGGATGGCTTAGGATGAGGAAGAAGTACAGTTCTATTCTATCTATGATCTATCCTCTTTACTACTTACTAATTTGTTTTTCCACCCTCGCTCTTTCTGATATTTGCTTATTGGCCCTCCGTATTTCTTGTTTTTTCATTCTAGTCCTTGGGCCTGTAAGCTTTTACGTCCGATGCATTGGCCATTGGTATTTGGTGGTGCTTTCTTCCACTAATTCTCCTGCGTACTCTGTGGTTTCCGGCAAGTCGAACAGTATCGGCGATGGCTCCCCACAATCGGATTCTGAAGCTTCTAGTTCGCTATACCTGCGAATATGAGGAGTCTGGACTCTGGAGATGTTGTATCTTTATCGTTTCGGCAGTGGATTGTCGCATGAAGAGCTGGATTGACATTGGGAATTTTAGGAACCCTAAGAAGAGTGGCGAGTCTGTTGAAGGTGATACTCACTTCATTACCTGTTGTTAACCTCCGCGAGCTAGATAATCTGGATAACTTGCCTGCATTATCTTGGAATTGTGCTTTACTTAAGGAGATTTCAGGTCTTGGAGGGCTGAGATCTTCAGAAAATCTTAGCATATATTGTCTAGGTTCTGTACACAGTTAGACAGACTCCGTTCTTTGATAAGCTTGTTCCTTGTAGGCTGCCATGCGCTAGAAAGACTGCCCACCCTGGTGTCTTTGGGCAAGTTACTTGAGTTCGATGTCGAGGTCTGCCCTGAAATCCAAGGCCTTGGAGGGCTGTTGCAAAAGTTAAGTGTTAGTTATGCTACAAGTTTAACGGGTTTGAACTCTACTGTCTTTTAACTAGTTACAAGAATCTTCTCACTTCACTAGCATTCCATTACCTTGATGGTGCTGATGATCATAGGGGCTGCCAGCTGGCAGCAGGACTCTGGTAACTCTGGACATCAGGGGAACCATGTAACTACTGCATACCTTTTGCAAGATGCTTCAGCAGTCAGTGTTCCTGCAGCTGAATTGGAAATGGATAGGCTCAAGCCAATGGACGAATTAGTTGAGCTGTGTTTGCTTGGCTTGTCCTCAATGCCGATACTACTTTCTTTGTCAAGGCTGCGAAAGTTGACTAACTGATCTGTCACCAGTGCCTCAATCTGCAGGACATGGAAGGCCTTATTGGTACCAATTTCTCTCTGGCTGGCACGTCTTTGGAAATTTTGCCAGCGGATCGCCCACCTGGTTTGAAACAATTGAACTGTAACATCTGTGGTTGCCAAAACCTGACTCGTCTGTCTGCTCTAAGAGAACTAGACCCAAATGTAAAGAGATTGCGTTCCATCTGACCCATAGAGCTCCAATCCGTAAGTGAATAAATGGTGTACATTATGTTCACTACCCCTTCAAATTTTAGAATCTTTGATAGCTAATGAATCTCGTGTTTGGATGGTGACCTTGCAGGGCTTATCATTCTTTATTTATGACCAATTGAAACTAAGTCAATTTTTGGTATCATTTCACAGCTGTATGGTAGGGATGGTATAACCTTTGATACTTCATTGGTGCAAAAGATAGCTAGTCAAATTTTTATATATATTATGAATGGAAGATCAAGGTATTTGAAAGTCTCTATTCTTTGACAGTCTCTGAAAACTTTACAAATTCTTTTATTCTTTATGTGGTCTGAAAACTGTATATAATCTGGACGGTCTGGACAGTCTCTATTCTTTGAATTCCTTGACACTTCATGATTGTGATGTTTTGGAAAGACTGCCCAGCATGACATCTTTGTGCAAGTTACTTCATTTAAAAAGTTACAAACCACGCCCGCTGCTGCAGACCTTCTACGGAATGCTTCAGCTGTTAATATTCCCAAGTCTCACGGAGTTGAAACTTAGTAGTTTGAGGATTGGTTATGCAGACTCGGAATTAAAGCTGGAGGGGCTTGAGTCTATGGAAGAGTCAGTTGAATTTCTTTGGTGGCTTGGCCTCGACAGAGACTACCTTCCCTGTCAAAACTGTGAAACTTGGAAAGGTTAACTGCCATTCCTGCTACACCTGCAGAAGATTGAGGGCCTTGGTGGATTGAATTCCTTGGAACACCTAGAGCTCTCCGCCTGTACATCTTTGGAAGGATTGCCTACAGTTCCAGAAGTCTCTCCAATTTGCCCTGAATTCTTTATGAGTGCCTTCAAAATGTTGTCTCGAAGATGCTCCAGAACAAATATAACATGTCTGAAAGCAGAAAGCTCATGCTCTAGTGGATGAGTTTACACTGCACGGGACACGCTTGTTCAATTTTGAGCTCCACATCTTCTTTGGAGTCTGCAAAATCTCAGCAGCTGGTGGTAAATAACCTTCCTGTAATTCCTCTACTATTACTACTACTACTACTACATTTGACCAAAGTTCAAATTTATCAATTTGGCCACTTTGTATTTATGATATCCATTGCTGCAGGAGATAACTACTCAGTTTTGTTTATAATATAATAATGTGAAGGCCAAACTTCTCAAAGCCTACGAAAGTCAACCCCTTCCCCAGCATCCAAAGTCGTTGGTCTCTGTGTCCTTTCCTCCTTAATAACTTCTCTCCATTCCCAAAAACTTTCATTGTCTCGCACACACAAAAAAAAAAAACAAAACAAAAAACCGTTTCAGGAGCAGTCCCTAACCGAACAGCCTCTCCATTTCTCTCTTCGCCTGTAAGTATCACTTTTTCTTCTGCTCTGCTGTTTCCAGATCTTTTTACTTTACCTGGTGTTGTACGAGATCTATTCCTTCCTTCTCTTTTGGTCTGAACTTTACCTGGTGTTTAAAATTTTCATTGTAATGCGCCAACTGTTTGATTTTGCGCTTTAGTTCCTCTTTCTTTCTGCTTTCCCAATTTTAGCCTTCCGAATATCTAATTGTTTCATACTAGTCCTTGATCCTGCCATGTTTCTAAGTTTAAGTAGTTTTGAGTAGTGATACCGTATCCTATCCTACCGGCTGGTTGTCTCTAATACAGTTTTACATATCACAGACAAGACTTTAAGCTTCAGACTTCACAATCTCAATTCTTCCAGTTGTGATATAAATTATGCTACCTAATGTAGCTTGCTCTGATCCCCTCCTGCAATTACAAAGGATAAGGAAAGCGTTTGTATTATTAGCTAGGATTAATTTGCAATCTTTTGTGTATATATGATTCATTCCAGGCTTGACACGTTGGACTGGCATGATTTGTGATTGCATCACATATATATTATTATGAAGAAATGGATTACATAAAAGGAGCCGTCACAGTGATTATCTTGTCGCTTCCACTGGTGATTCTCCTCTGCAAGCTGTGGTCTGGAAGGAGAAGTTCCGACACCTCGAGCAATATCGATAATGCATCTAGACAATTGGATTCTGTTGCTTCTGCTTCTGATACTGCAAATTCTAATCCGCTTCCCCTGCCAATTGGAGAGTATGAGGTGTTCTTGAATTTCAGAGGTCCAGACACTCGTTATCAAATCACCGATATCGTTTATCGGTTTCTAGTGAACTTGAAAATTCGCACATTTAAAGAGGATGATGAGCTCCGAAAAGGAGAAGGTATATGGCCCAGTCTCGTCAAGGCTATTGAGCAATCCAAGATCTATGTTCTCATCTTCTCTGAGAATTATGCTTATAGCAAATGGTGTCTTAGAGAACTTGCCGCAATTGTTGCATGCCAAGAGAGAAACCAGGGCTGTGTCATACTCCCTATTTTCTATATGGTGAATCCTAGAGATATACGTCATCAAAGTGGACATTACCGAAATGCATTTCGACAACACGAGCAAAATATTGACGAAGAGACCATAAAAAGTTGGAAAGATGCTCTAACTAAGGTTGGAGCTCTGAAAGGATGGTATGTCAAAAGCAGTGACGAGTAAGTTAACTCACCCTAACCTTCTGTTATCTTCTTCACCAAATTTCTTATTATCAGATTGGGAATTAATTTCGCGCATTGACCCCTAGCATTAGCTTGATCTATAATGATATAATTGGAAATCATATTTTTTCAGGCAGGGGGCTATAGCAGATCTTGTTACCGGCGTTGTATGGTCACATCTAAGTAAGAACAGTCAAGTATTAGAGACTGATAAGTTGGTTGGAATTGGTGATCACATAGAAGTAGTGAAAGAAAGAATGGCTCTCAACTTTCCATGTGCGACAATCATTGGCATCTATGGTATGGGTGGCATTGGTAAGACCACTATCGCAAAGGCTGTCTATAACAAAGTATTTGCTCAATTCGATCGATGTAGCTTTGTGAGTGACGTAAGAGAAATGCTACAACAAAAAGATGGTGCTATCAATTTGCAGAAGCATATTATCTCACAGATTTTGAGGGAGAACTTTGTTGAATCCATTGCCAATGGTAGTGATGGAATGAAAATTATAAGAGAGAGAGTTTCTCGGTTCAAAGTTCTTATTGTTCTCGATGATGTGGATGAAAAGTTTGAATTAGCTGACATCTTGGGAAACATGGAGGAATTTGATCCTGGGAGTAGAGTCATCATTACGTCCAGAAATGTGAAAGTTTTGAGTAATTTGACTAATGATTGCAAGTTATATAGAGTCCACGAGATGAGTTGTCAACATGCACTTCAACTCTTTTGCAAGCATGCGTTCAGAAAGGATTCTCCTCCACCGAGTTATCAGTCTTTGTCAGAGGCTATTGTATCTATTGCGGCGGGACTTCCATTGACTCTTAAAGTTGTTGGATCACTTTTATTTGAAGAGGAAAAAGTGTTTTGGATTGATAAACTCAGACAGTTAAAAGAAATTGCAGAGGAAAAGGTTGTACAAAGGTTAAAGATAAGCTATGATACATTGAGTGAAGAGGCAAAGCAGATTTTCTTGGATATTGCTTGTTTCTTCATTGGAAAGGACGAAGAGATGCCTTCTTATATGTGGAGTGACTGTGGCTTTTTCCCCATAACTAATATCAATATTCTTAGTCAGAGGTCTATGATTGAAATAGAGTATTCTTACAAAAGTAAGAAAGTATTTCGAATGCATGATCAACTCAGAGATATGGGTAGAGAAATTGTACGCCAAGAAAATATAAGACATCCATGGAAGAGAAGTCGGATATGGTCGAAGGATAAAGCTTTGGACGTGTTGCTTAACAAAAAGGTTAGCTGCCCTCGTTTCGCTTGAATTCTATAAGATATTTGTAATATATGTATTTGATAGCTAAAACATTTCCACAGTTCTGTGAGCAGAGAGAAAAAACATTTCCAGCCCAAATTATTTGTGTATACATATTTTAGGATCAATCCTAATTTTGGGTCCTGAACTTTGATACTCCTTTAAAGCCAACCCCTGAACTTTTATTTTTCCTTAAAGTTGCTTTTTCTTTAAATTATCAGCTGAGGAATGAGGATGCAAACACGCTCAGTATAAGGAGGGAAAAATATCACTAGCCTTAAAAACTATTTGTGCTTACTTTGAATTGGAGATGTCAGCTTAGGGTGTGGTTTATTTTATTTAAAATGCTACTAGTTTAACCCATTTAGCATATTAGAAGACGTATTCAGCATTGTGTTTTTCACTCCATGTTCTTTTTGCTTAGCAATGGATATACCCTTTAAATGGTTATAGGTTACAACAACTCCTATGGTTGTTAAGTACTTAAGTTGATTCCTTTTTTCCAAATAATAAAGGCATTCGTTGCAGGGCTCTACTGCACCTTAAGTGTCTGAATGGGGGAACCAAAAATTTGAAACGACCAATTCACATGAATAATAAAAGAAACCATCCAACCTGTATGATGTACTACAATATTAAGTTCTATTTCTTTTTTTGGTTTTCTTCCCTTTTGGTTATTTAATTTTGATTTCTCTATTGCAGGGAACAAACAGAGTAGAAAGCATTAGAATAATAAACTCATCATCTGATGATGATGTTGTGGAGAAGCTTGAGATTGGGGCAAACCTTGAGAATGAATGCTTTTTGAATTTGTCAGAGTTAAGATACTTTGACGTGGAAGCTAAGATGCTCCCTAGCAACTTCAGTAATTATCTTCCAAATTTAAAATGGCTTCAATTGGTGTTAGGATATGGTGCGTGTTTGCCTAAGTTCCGTGTGGACAATTTGGTGATTCTCAACCTCTTAGGCTCAGTGAAAGATGATTGGGGGAGTTTGAGGCATATCAAGGTATGGCATATTACTTAATCACATAAAATGAATGAATTGTGCTTGTTGAGTTTCTTGACTAATAGCTACCTGTTTTGTTTTTATTTTCCTTTGTGTTTAATGTGTTCATGAAGATGGCGAGCAAACTCAAAGTTTTGAACCTTTCGGGTAAGTTCCTGATCGAATATCCTGACTTTCCAAGTTCCGGGAGTCTAGAGATATTACGTATGGAGGATTTCGGACCTCAGTTGTCCCGCAAGGATATAGATGTTGGGAATCTGAAGAACTTGAAAGTGCTTCATCTGAAGAACTGTGAGATAAGACAGATAAGGGGTGGAACCATTGGGATGATGCAGGGGCTTCAAGAGCTCAGTATCATCCATTTAAAGTTTGAGACAGGTCTGAGGGAAGCACTTGACAATATTGGGGATTTGCAGTTTCTTGAAATCTTGATAGTAGAGTTTGCACACAATGTTGGACCTAGATCAGTTCATGAGAATGGACTGCTGGGGATTAAGCTTCCCACGAGTTTGAAGAAGCTGCTGATTCCATATCCAGTTGCTAACCTTTCGGAGTTGCTGGAATTGGAGAAATTAACTGTTGATAGATGTGGGCACGGGAGTGAGATCCCTTCAGCAGACAATAGTAATATGTGGTGGAAGGTATCCAAATTGAAGTCTATAACATTGAAAGAGACAAAGATGACTATCCCATTTAATACTTCTAGTCCATCTTCCATGTCGCTGCTTCCATCATCATTGATCATTCTGGACATCGCTAAGTGTCCAGAATTGGAGTGGCTCCCAAATCTGGAGAATTTGGAGAATTTGACTTTCTTATCCATCAGTGGGTGTTCCTTGCTTAAAGAGATCCCAGGTCTCGGAGGACTGAAATCCTTGGAAACTCTGAGCATAAGTGATCTGAAAGCTGTATGCAACCTGGACGGTCTTGACAGCCTCTATTCTTTGACATCCTTGACACTTTTTGACTGTGATGCATTGGAAAGACTACCCAGCATTGGGTCTTTGAGCAAGTTACTTTATTTAGGCATCTCTTATTGCCATAGTCTCACAAAAATCCAAGGTCTTGGAAGCCTAATATCTTTGCAAAAGCTAGAGATTACTGTTGCAAAGAGTAAACGGGATCGCCTCAGCTTTGAAAGAGAACTCTCTTTGAACAAGTTGGAATTCGAGAATTTTCCTATTCTATCACTATTACTCTATAACCTTGATGCTGAGTGCCGATTAGAAGATCTCTACTTTCCCAGTTCTGGGAGTCTAGAGGAATTGCATCTGCAGAATTTCGGGCATCGGCTGTCCCATAAGGAATTGTATATTGGGAATTTGTGGAACCTGAAAGTGCTGAGTCTGCAGCAATGCGAGGTAGGAGAGATAAGTGGTGGAACCATTGGGATGCTGGAAGGCCTTCAAGAGCTTGATATCTACGAGTTCCACTGTGTGAGAAATCTAAGAGAAGTGCTGGCGGATGTCGGGGAATTGCAGTTTCTTGAAATATTGAGAGTAACAAGCGATAGTATTTTGAGATTACTTTACGAGCATCTATTGTTGGGTACTAAACTTCCCTCAAGTCTGAAGGAGTTGGCTGCTACATCTCCAGTTGCTAACCTTCCAGAGCTGGTGGAGTTGGAGAAACTAACAGTAGATGGATGCGGTTATGGGCTTGAGATCCCTCCTGCAGACACTTGCAATATGTGGTGGAAGATATCCAAATTGACGTGCCTGACGCTCCGCAAGACAAAAATGACCACACCAATCGATACTTGCCTGCGGCTGCTTCCATCATCACTGACCACCCTCAACATCTACTCGTGTCCGAAATTGGATTGGCTCCCAAATCTAGAGAATTTAGAGAACTTAACTTCCTTATCGATCAACGATTGTCCCCTCCTAAAGGAGATCCTTGGTCTTGAAAGGCTGAAATCCTTGGAAACTCTGACTATACGTGATCTGAAAGCTCTATGCAACCTGGACGGTCTTGACAGTCTCTATTCGTTGACATACTTGACACTTTCACGCTGTGATGCATTGGAAAGACTGCCCAGCATGGTGTGTTTGAGCAAGTTGCGTGATTTAAGTATCTCCTCCTGCTCTTGCCTCAGGGGAATCCAAGGACTTGGAGGGCTGGAATCCTTGCAAATGCTTTACATTCGTGATGCAGAGAGTTTAAGTCATCTCTTCGGCTTTGACACTCTCCTGTCTCGTAACAAGCTAGAAAATTTAAAGATAAGTGGCTGTCCTCATCTGACATTACTACCATTCCCTGACTTTGATGATGGACACCGTTCACAAGCAGCGGTACTTGACTCTTTACAGGTGCTAGACATCGGTGGAACAACCCAGGTGCTGCAGATCTTCTGCCGGATGATTCAGTGGTTCTTGCTCCCAAGTCTCGCGGAGTTGACACTTAGTGGGGTGGAGATTGGAAACGTTGACACAGAATTGAGCCTAGATGGGCTCGAGTCTATGGAAGATTTGGTTGAGCTGCGTCTTAATGACTTGGCCTCTATAAGGAGGCTACCTTCACTGTCAAAGCTGGGAAATCTGAAAAGTCTAACAGTGAATAATGCTCCAAAGCTGCGAGTGATTGAGGGCCTTGGTGGTTTGAAGTCCTTGAAAGAGCTTGATCTCTCTGGATGTACAGCATTGGAAAGATTGCCTGTGGATCAGCTATATGGTTTGGAGCGATTGAGAAGCGTGGACATCCATGGCTGCACAAACTTGATTGATCTAGAAAAAATAGAGCTGGAGGTACAGATACTGTGGCCAGATTTCGGGTACTGAAACTATGCTTCTGATTTCTAGTTTGTACAACTTTCGCTTCAGAGAACGAGCCCTCTCGAGATGGTTTGGGCCGACGATGTTTATTACAACTTTCGCTTCTGGGTAAACAACGCTTCTGATTTCTAGTTTGGGCTGACGATGCTTATATTCAGTAGTGTTCTAACTTCCAATCAGCCTTGAGATTCAGTAGTGTTCTAACTTCGGCAACGATATATTTGTATAATTAAAATTTTGACGTTTGTAATAGATTGATATTGGTATAATAGATATATTTGTATAAATATGTATATCTTACAATATATTAAAGGGGTTTGGAAAACCCACCCCTTCCACGTAAGCCTTCCAGCTTCCCCGCGTTTCTCGGCATTTAGGGGTATTTTATCTTAAAAAATATTAAAACAGTTTCTATTTTGGCCCTATGCCACGTAACCCAAACTTGAACCGGAGGCAATCCACGTCACATGGTTATTTTTTCCCTTTTCACTTTGTTCTGCCCTCCCGGGAAACTACTTTTACAGTTTTACGGCTTTAACTGGCCCCATCTTCTTCCCTTTTCCTTCATCCGCCATTGCTTTCTTCTGCTTCCCAATTCTACTATTTTTTTCCAGAGCATTTTTTTAGGCCACCGTACTGATGAGTGATGACCCCCTTAACTTCCCAGCGGTCAAAAGCCTCTTCTGTACAACAACGCCGCAACCACCGGCATATTGCTTTCCGGTCACCGTTATGATTTTACGAAGGCACCAATTCTCCTCGATGAATAACGTCTCTCCATACAATCAATCAACACCGCAACCTTCCCTACCTTCTGACTGCTCTGGATTCCCGCAGGTAATTTAATATTAAGTCGATTGTTCGTCAGTGTGGTTTCCTGCACCTCTTTCAAACTCTATTTTCCTCCATATATTTCGTTAATTATACTCCCCTTCTGTTTGTCTTATGCTATAGTTATTTTGGTTACTTCCTAATATTTGACCCTTTTGGATTCGTTGAGTTTCTCCCTCCTGCAACTGCAACTGCAACTGCAACATATCCCTGAACAAAGTTTTTTTCCCAAGTTGTTTTTAATGTACGAAGCCAAATATTTGTACATTTATTAGTTTTCCATTGGGTTAATAGCATTTTGTACCCTCTACAATGATAAATTAACAAACATGTCCCTCTACTAAATTTTTACACAAACATACCCTTCTAATATTAATACGTAACGAGTATGCCCTTCCATCTAATTATATGTTATGTGACCGTTAAATGGCTTGTGAAATCACCCAATTACCCCTCATTTACTCTAAATACTCCTAATTTTGATTTTAATTATCTTATTAATCCCAAATCAATTAATTAAAAAAAAAACTTTAACTAATTCAAGCACAAGTGCACTCGACCAAGACCATCCATCTCCTCGGCGGCGGCGCCTGCCCCGACATCCCCTCGCCGGCGGTCGAGTAGAGACTAGAGAGTAGTAATCAAACAAAGCAAGGTTACTGGGTCCAAGGGGATAACGTATAAAAGCTAGATTACTAAGTAGTAAGCAAACAAAATCAACCCAAACTCGACGCCTGTATATTTTATTCCCTGCATCTAATATACAACTTATTGAAAATCAAAGCTAGGTTACTGGATCCAAGAGGATAACAGTATCAGGACAATCGAATCTCGGCCAAGCAAGTATTTGTGCAGGATGCTTGATCACAGTCTCCATCCGGACCTGGGATGACTATTTTCCTCGGAAGTATCAAGCTTCTGCAGGCTGGCATCGGAACGTCGTATGAGAAGCCGGGGAAGGTCGCCCCTGCTGTGTAATCGAGGGGAGCAACGGGTGACATCGGAATGTCGCGGAGAGAATCCGGGAATCTGGCCGTTGGGTCTTGCCTATCAATCGGTTATCTCTCCTCCAGCCGCCGGCGAGGGGATGCTGGGAGCAGGCGCCGCCGACAAGTCAAGGACTAATCGGCAAGGGAAACTTCAGGGGAGACGGACGGTCTCTGGTCGAGTCTGTCTGTGCGTGCCAATTAGTTAGGGATTTGATTTTTTTTAATTAACACTCTGTTTGGGAAGAGGGGTAAATGGGAGGAGGGTGCAAATGTGAGGGGTAAACACAGTTTCCAACACATTTGCACCTGTTTGGTTAATTTGGAACAGTAGGGGGGTGCAAAACGAGAGTGCAAATTTACTGTTTCGGCTTACCCCCCCGAATTGGGGTGCAAAGGAAGGAAGGAAGAGAGGGGGAGGGGGGAATTATGGAATTTTGTTTTTCTAATTGTGTTATATATAATTATATAATAATTAATATTATCAATTTCTTCTTTTTATAAATATCATTAATGTAAACATTATTCGGGGTTGACCATTTGACTCTGGAAACAAGTTTATAAATGTTCGTCAAGTCAAATCTAGATCTCTTGGTTGAATCGAATTTGCATTGAAAATTAGATATACAAGGTGTTTGTGGAAAAGATAGAGAGAAATTGTTTGGTTAACTCATTTTATTTGACTAAATAGTTAAAACTTACAAATTCGAACGTGTTTGACTAAGTTTGACAGTTTAAGATTAAACTAGACACGAAAACCCTATATAGGATGACCATTGACCAGTTAGGAGTTGAGCTTCGAGTTTTGAGATCGCTCGATCAATGATTATTACAATTGTTATAATTAATTATTATTTGAGCATTATTATATAATAACTATTTTTAGTAAAGTATATTTATTATTATATAGTAATATTTATTTTATTATTTTATGATAATATTTATAATTTTAAAATCTATTTTATAATTTTAAAATCTATTTTAAAATAATATAATTACTTACTTTGCACTTTATTTGCACCCCCCTACTTTTTCATCCAAACAACAATTTACCCCTCCACTTACACCCCCCAGCAATTTGCACCCCCCAGCAATTTGCCCCTCAACTTGCACCCTCCTGCAATTTGCACCCCCCTTGTTGCCAAACAGAGCGTAATTGATTAAGAAATAAAATAATTAAAACCAAAATTAGGAGGGTTTAGAGTAAATGAGAGGTAATTGGGTCATTCCACGTGTCATTTAACGGTCACATAACAGATAATTAGATGGAAGGGCAAATTCGTTACGTTTTAATATTAGAAGGGTATGTTTGTGCAAAAATTTAGTAGAGGAGCATGTTTGTTAACTTACCATAGTAGAGGGGTACAAAATGCTATTAACCCTTTTCCATTTTTTCTTCTTAACGGTTTTTAGATGGATCTTTTTACGGCTTTTCAAATGTGTTATATTGGATTAAATAAATTTTTTTTGATTTATTTTATGGTTAAATGAATTACATTTCTCGAAATTAATTTAATCTTCACAAGAGATGAGCATTTAACTTGATATACGACATATTCAAACTTTAGATATTGAGCATTAATATTGAATTTCGATTGCTCATTTGAGAAATAGAAAATTACTTACTTATGATCTCATAAATTTATATTGGGAGAATACAAATATATTGTCGAAAATGAAATTTGAAAATATTTATAACTTAAAATAGTTAATCCTAACCGTAAATTACTTTATTGATAAAATGATATGTGAAACTTACCCGGCCAATAGGCCGGGAACAAAGCTAGTATTTAATATATGTTTTCCTTCCTTACCTTCTCCTTTTTATTGTGATTTTGCTATTTTTTTTGTTTTCCGTTAAGGCATTGAGAGAGGAGAGAGATTGTAGATTGTGGAGATATGGAGAGAGTAGAAAAACTATAAGTTAATTTATTGTTTATTATTTATAATTATTAGTTAGCACTATTTATCATCCATAAGAAGTATTTATTTATCTAATTAACAATAATTGCTTACACCAAAAAATTGTTTACACATTCAATTAATAATACAAATTGTTTTTTTAACTATTTATAATTACTATTTGTTTTAGCCATGCAAAATTTAAGAAAGTCTAAAGACTTTTGGATTTGATCCAATGTTACCTGGGTTCTCACGAAAAAACTAATATATATGAGAATTTTTTTTGGTAATTTATTATATGCGAAAATTTTCCATGTGTAAGTTCTCGCTATATCATAATTTCAATATCTCAATTCTCAAGTTTAGCAGAAAAACTATCTCAGTTACGAAGATATTGACGTTTGCTATGTCAATTTTTTTAATTTATTAAGTGTAAATCCAGTTAAGAATATATAAACATGTAAGAAATCACTACTAAGATTCAAAATCACAACCAATAAGTTCCAAATCATAATTTATAATTAATTAAAAACTCCATTTATCTATACATATCCCTATGCGTAGAAAATCATCTATGAATTTATCACAAGTTCACAATAAGATTAATATTATTCGAATGTGTTTTATACTTCTTAATCAGTTGTTGATATTGAGTAAATATGAGATGAATTTATGCTGAATTCTATGCTAGCAACACATATTTGTAATTACAAATCAATTGTGTCAACTTAATATATTATGAATTGAAAAAATATTTTTGTTATTATTATTAATATTAAAAGTTACCCGGCCAATGGCCGGGAATAATGCTAGTTGGTATAATAGATATATTTTGATAATACATTGTTTTATTGTTTATAGATTGATTTCCATACAATTACTTTACTAGTTTTCTGGCCTGCGCTTCGTTGCCGTAAGAAACTAAATTATATTTAAAACACCATCTACTCGTTTGATCATTTAGTAAATCAAATAACTCACAAAATATTTTAGGAAAGATACTATGTGAGCGGGGACGGATAGCGTGACAACCCTTTAGGGGTTGTCAATTTCGCTTCCCCTCTTTTTGCCGTCCATCATCCTTCTTCATCCGGCGGTCAGGAGAATAAGAAGGGCTTTTTAGTAAGTTCTTAATTCTAATAATTTTGAATTACCACTTAAATATATGGAGAAAATCTTGGAGCGTGATTGGCGGGAGGTGAAGAGCATGTTTCGGTGGGACTCTTTCCCTTCCATTTTTAGCTTCTCCCTCGTCAAACCAAAACCCTCATCAAACCAAGCATCAGT